GGGTCAGACGGGATGGGCTCGGAAGGTACCCGAGCACGTTTCCTGGGGCTCCCAAAGGGTGGGGATGAGTCTGTGGATTTGCGAAGGGATGGAGCTGGGTCAAGCCCGGGATGGACGTCCATACTCTACTCTCACCCAAGAGCAGTGCGGGGCGGGGGAAGGGGAGAGAGTGGCCTCGCCAATAAGCTAAGGGGTGGGAAAGGCTTCTGGGTGGCGGTGGGCGGAGCGCGGAGCTGTGCTTTCCTGCCGCATCCAGAGTTCCTGGAGTCCCTGGAGCCTGACCTGCCGGCCCTGAGAGCCATGGGGCTCCACCTGTGGGCTGCAGGCCCTGAAGCCCATTCCGCTGGAATTCGCGATCTGCTGGCCGAGGTCTCCGCTCAAGTGGATGCACCGGTGCCCGGATACTTATCTGCCCCCCAGAGCATAATGGACACGTGCCTGTACATCTTCACCTCTGGTACTACCGGTGAGGGCTGGTCACCATGCTCACCTCCCAGAAACTCAGGCAGAGGAAGACAAGGGTCTGGGACCTCGCAGCTCCCAGGCCACCCCTCCCAGCCCCCCGAGGAGATGGTGATCCCAGCGGCCGTGTCCTCTCACCAACCCTCTCATTCCGGTCCTTTCTCCACCTCCCCGATCTTCCCACGTTTCCAAGTCAGCCTGGCCTCCCTTCTCAGCTCCGGTTTTGCCTCTGTGCCTCTTTCTGTGGGAAACCCAGCAGGGGCGACGAGGGAGGCAGGGCTTGGCGCTGAGCCCTTCCCCTGGTCTCCCCCCAGGCCTCCCCAAGGCTGCTCGGATCAGTCACCTGAAGGTCCTGCAGTGCCAGGGCTTCTACCAGCTGTGCGGTGCCCACCAGGAGGATGTGATCTACCTGGCCCTCCCACTCTACCACATGTCCGGCTCCCTGCTGGGCATCGTGGGCTGCTTGGGCATCGGTCAGTCTCCCCTCGCCAACCCCCATGTCGTCCTCTAGCACACATTTAGGAAGCACCTGCTGTGGTGCCCACCTGAGGTGCCCCGAGTCCTTCAGGTGGAGAAGGGAGCAAGAAGGCAGGCAGGGCCTACTCCAGGAGCTCCTGGTCCAGTGGGGAATGTCACCTGCACAGACCTGCAGGCTGAGCACTGTGGGAGGCCACGTGTTCACAGAACTCCGCATTCCAGGGACAAGGGGATGGAAGGGCTGGGAGTGTCAGCCCGGGAGGAGGCACATGGAGAGGAGGGGTGGGACTTGGGGCAGGGTACCCGATGGGGCGGTGAGGAAAGGGCATACCCTCTGAGGCACAGGTGGGAAAGGAAGAGGGCCAACTTGGCCGGCCCACAAGTGAGAATGCTGCTGGGGCGCTGCAAGCTAGTGGCAGGGAAGAAGAGGGCAGGGCTCCCGCGACAGCCCTTAATCTACCTCTTTCCTCCCTCCCCTTTCTCCCCACTTCTGGCAGGGGCCACAGTGGTACTGAAGTCCAAGTTCTCAGCTGGTCAGTTCTGGGAGGACTGCCAGAAGAACCGGGTGACGGTGTTCCAGTACATCGGGGAATTATGTCGATATCTCGTCAACCAGCCCCCGGTGCGTGGG